ATGACCCATCCATACCTCAGCATGTATGATATTATGCAGCCATTTCATCTTGAATGGGGATGAAAACTTGATTGATGGGTATGATTATGTGAATATTATTACCATGTTATGTAACATTAGTCTCCTATCTTGTGAAGAGAACCTCTCTCCTCTGGCTTTGAAGAAGTAAGGCACCATACTGTAAGGCGCCATAGAGAGGGTGACACAGAAGGGATCTGATGGTGGCCTCTGGAAAACACTTGATTGGAAACTGAAGTCCCCAGTCCAGCATCTCACAAGGAACCCAATACTGCCAACTATCACACGAGCAAGAAAACATACCTTTTCCTGTTGTACCCTTAGATGAGAATGGAATCTTGGTCTACACCTTTGTTTTAGATTTGTAGACAATCCAGTTAAACAATGTTCAAACTCCTGACACACAGACTCTGTGAAATGTGAAATGATAAATGTGCATCCTTTTAAGGTAAAAAGTTTGGGGTATTATTTCTGCATAATCATACGCTGCATCCTGTGAAGCTGGCCCTGGAAACCTTCCTGGAATGGTGAGGGGATAAAGAGAGGACAGACCTACAGAAACATGTGTGGCAAAGCTGGACTCAGGCATATGGCTCCCACTCTGATGGAGTGGCACCACCAGCAGAACAATCCAGAATCTTAACATGTTCTCTGCATGTTTATTATGGGTTGTTGTGAGATATTTGATTACACTGTGTAAAGATGTGTCACTGTGATTGGTTTAATGAAAAGCTAAACATCGACTAGGTAGGCAGGGAGAACAGGTGGGACTTCCAGGTAAAGAAGGGTGGGGATGAATCTAGGCATGCAGAGGAGACGCCAGGAGATGCAGAGCAAGTCGGAGGTACAGAATAAAAGAAAAGCAAAAAGCCACGTGGTAGAATGTAGAGTAAAAAATATGGGTTAATTTAAGATATAAGAGCTAGTTAGGAACAAGCCTAAGCTATAGGTTGAGCTTTCATAATTAATAAGTCTCCATGTCATTATTTGGGGGCTGGCGGAATGGAGAGAGACTCCTTACAGTGGGTAGGCTAGCTAGTCTCTGTAGGAGAGCAGTGTCAGGCTGTAAACATCCAAGAGGAGGAAGCTGGTTTATCACACATTAGTTTATCCTTAGTAACCTCTTGTGCTTGGACCAGAGGGAGGCTTTGCCGTCTCTCTGAGCCTCACCCTGGGAAGCCTTTGCTACTCTCATAGGTCTGAGGCACTGAGACCCATGACATGAACAGTCACATCCATTCAGGGCTTAATTGGCTCTTTACACACTCACTAAAGGCTTCTGCTCCCCACAGCCGTAGAAATTCATGCATGAAACTTACTAAACTATAAGTTATCTGATTAAAATATAATTAATTATGCCATATACCTAGAAAGACTTTTGAAACATAAAGGGGTTTGGGCAATGTTTATAGGAAAATGGAGGGAAAGGGGAAGAAAGGAAGGAGGAAAGGAGAGAGAGAGAGGAAGGGGGAGAGAGGTCCACTGATTGTGAAGTGTGGTCTGATGTTTAGGTGACTTTCTATATACATGGTGAGATTGCTAACATGTTCTAAGGAAGTTTTTCTTGGTGTTTTGGAATCTACGTCACATCAGTCTGGTTATTTGTATACTCAGCTCAGATGTTTGCATGCACATGTTTGGGGACATTTTGATAATTCCAGAGGTGAGAAATCATGGAACTTGCTCTTGAGATTGGGAAGAACAATCTCTTTGCAACATTGGAATATGCAGGACTTGTCATCCATATCCATTTCTTCACAGTGTGTGGCTGAAAACAACCAGGGACTTGTCCTTGAGGATTAAACTGAAGCCTCCCAGGAGACATGAGGATTAGGGCAAGGTTAACTAGCACTTTGTACATACATTTTCAGCATGTGTATCAAAGAGCTTTATTTGGGTACATATGTACCATAGGCTTACTTGTATTATATGTATAATTTAATGATTATTTTATTAAATTTATAGACTTAAGCCACCACCCCCACAGTAAAACTTTAGAATGTTTTCCAACACTGAGGTAACATGGGGTGTCCCTTGTAATTATTTCCAGTTACTTCTCATTCTTACTCTAAGTAGCCATGTACTTATTTACTGTATCTTTTCTGTCTATCTCATGTAAATGGAATTTTACAATATGTGGTCCTTGGCAGATGGCCCTTTCCACTTCCCGTAGTATTTTGGAGTTCATCCTTACAGCATCCTAAATTAAGTAGATGACTCTTTTCAGTTGCTGAAGAATCGTTATGTGGAGGTATCACCTTTGTTTAATCTTCAGTTGTTGAACATGCAAATGTTCCAGTTTTTGCTTACTATAAATGCTATCATGAATATGAAACATGTTACATGCCAGTCATTGTGTGTACATATCTGCTCATTTCTTTTGGGAAAATTCTTAGTCATTTAATACATTTAAGTTAAACTCTAACTCACTATCTTTAGGTCAAGATTAAGGGTCCAAAATGTACTTTATAAAGTATATTTATTAAAGTTCTAATCTACTCGATTTGTGTATTTGAAGAAGAAGAGGAAGATTGGATTCTTCCATGAAGATAAGTAATAAAAATATTGAATACATTTTGTGTGTATGCACCTATATGTATGTACATGTTTATGCATGCACATATGCATTACACGCATGTGTATGTCAAAGCCACAGGACAAACTTAGGTGTGTCTTGTCAGGAGCCATCTGCCTTATTTCTTGAGACAGGGTCTCTCACGGAAGCGTGAGTTTGCTGATTCGGCTACACTGGGCAGCCAGTGGGTCCCAAGATGGTTCACCTGCCTATCCCACAGCTTTGAGATCACAAACATGCACCACTATGCTCACTTTTGTTGTTGTTGTTTTTAAAATTTATTTCTTTTTATTTTATGCATGTGCTGATTCATTTTTTCCCCCACTTCACACAGAGTCGCTAGGAAGAGGGGAACCTCCATCAGATTGGACTGCAGGCAAGTCTGTGGGAGCATTGTGTTGATTAGTGATGGACATGGAGGGCCCAGTCCACTGTGGGTGGTGTCATCCCTGGTCAGGTGGACTTAAGTTACATGAGATAGTAAGCTGAATGAGCTATGGAAAGTCAGACATTAAGTAGTATTCCTCCATGGTCTCTGCATCACTTTCTGCCTTTGGGTTCCTTCCTTGTTTGAGTTCCCATTTTGGCTTCTCTCAATGATGGTTATGATCAGTATATGTAATCCAAATAAAACCTTTCCTCTCCAGGTTTCTTTTGGTTATGGTGTTTACCACAGTAATATAAAGCAAACTAGGACAATGTGTATGAGTGTTTTGCCTGCATGTGTGTATGTGTACCATGTGCACGTCTGGTGTCTACAGAGTCTAGAGGGCATCAGATACCTAGTACTCACTGGATAACTGTGAACCATGTGAGTTCTGGGAGATGATCCTGGGTTCCTGCAATATCAGCAAGTGCTCTTTCATTTTTTAAATTTTTATTATTAAGAAATTTTCTATTTATTTTACATACCAACCAGATCCCCCTCTCCTCCCCTCTCCTGCCCTCCACCCTTCCTCCCCAACCCACCCAGCATTCCCACCTCCTCCAAGGCAAGGTCTCCCATGGGGAGTCAGCAGAGCCTGGCACATTCAGTTGAGGCAGGTCCAAGCCCCTTCCCCCTACACCAAGGATGCACAAAGTGTCCCACCATAGGTATTGGGCTCCAAAAAGTCCATTCATGCACTGGGGACGGATCTCAATCCCACTGCCTGGGGGCCCCCTAAAGAGTTCAAGCTAAACAACTGTCTTTCCTATCCAGAGGGCCAACAAGTGCTCTTAACTTCTGAGCCATCTCTCCATACCAGGATTTTTTTTTGTCAGTTTGGTGCATTGAAAAATATGGCTTCCAAAGGGAGTGGCACTATTAGGAGGTGTGGCCTTGTTGGAGGAAGTATGTCACTGTCGGGTTTGAGGTCTCCTGTGCTCGAGCTGTGCTCAGTGTGACCCACTCTCTGGCTTATATTCCATGGAATATTATCTAGCTGTAAAAAAAAATGAAATTATGAAATTCATAGGTAAATTGAATTGAATTATATTGAATTCGGTAACCTAGGCTAAGGAAAACAAATGCTACATGCAGACCCTTATATGTTGAATCTAGCACCCCCCCAAAAGACATTAAACTATTAAAGTAGAAATGGAACAATTATGAAAGAAGGAGATGAGAAGAGAGAGATGAAAGAGACTAAGGGGTGTTGATAGGATCAAAATGCATTTTAAGCATGTATGAAGACATCACAGTGAAACCCATTATTTAATGTAGTTAAGATACACTAATAAAACTTTTCTAAAACCCCGAAACCCTCTACACCCCTTTACCATGTGAGGTAACAAGATTCCATCTACGAAGTGGATTCTTACTCATACTGTATCTGTTGGCCTCTTGCTGTTGGATGTCTCAGCTCCCAGAACCATGAGGATATAGGTCTGTGTGGTCCCTGAGCCATCCAGTCTATGACATTAGGGATCGTAGTCTAGATGGATGAAGACAAAAAACAATCATAATTATTTTAATTATTTGGCTTGAGTCATTAGTGAACTATTCAATAAATCAGCAATTGGATTTTTTAAAAGGGTGATTGACATAAAGAATTACAGATGGTGGTCTGAAGCAAGATACTGACTGTTGTATATATTCATAAATGCCCTAGGTGGGTTATATGTAGGGTGGCTGTATTCCCCCTGCAGCCTTCTAGATATTTTCTTGAGCTACAGAGGCCCAGGTTATAACTCAGTGTGTCAGTTCTTCTAAGACTAGGGTACAGAAGGCTGAACTATTCAACAGGCCAAATGTAAGTGGGTCACCATTTTTCACAATACTAAGCTTTTTAAAAAAAGTTCTTTGGCTTTTTCTTTTTTTAATCTCTAAATGTTACACTCACAATTTTTAATGGTAGGAAGCTTTGGAAGATTACATGTACACACAGTAACTTACATGAGTAAACTAGGACATAACATTTGAAAAGGTTCATAAGGTGGGTTCAGCAAACCTGAGTTCCTAATACTTCCTGAGTGAACTCCATGTGTTAGGCACGGTTCTAACAGCTTTGTCTGTAGGGCTGCATTTTTAACCACTATAGTAATCCCATAATGCAGCTGTAATGAACCTTTCCATGAACTGCAGCAGGAGCACAGGACAAAAGGATTCATGTAAATGCATCAAGGTCACAAGTTGGGAGCAGGTGAGGTCAGGATGGTGTAATGAGTCTTTTTCTGTCCTACCAGCCAAATAATAACACAGAGACTTCTTATTATGAAAGCTCAGCCTATAGCTTAGGCTTGTTCCTAACTAGCTCTTACAGCTTAAATTAACCCATTATATTAATTTATGTTCTATCACATGGCATTACCTCTCATCTTGCACGTCCTCTTTCTTCTCTGTGTCTCCTAGCATCTCCTCCATACCTAGATTCCTCCCCATCTTCCTTTCTCTCCCTGGAAATCTCACCTATACTTCCTATCTAGCTATTGACTGTTCAGCCTATTATTACACCAATCACAGCAATACATCTTCACACAGTGTACAAATAACCCACAACAAAGATGTGAACTCTGACAATTTGGCTCTAGAGCCTGTGCATGGAGCCAATATGCCCTGCCATCATCTTAAATAACACTGCAGAAAAACTTATTTGTTGGGAGCAAGATAAACCCATGTGGATAATAAAGTGTTCCACAATAAATAAAGTGCACTGCAATAAAGTGTTTAAAATTTGCCCTTTTCAGTATAAAAATTCATAATTGTTTGAGGAGTATTAATGGAATTATTCAATATATTGAGAAAAGCTATTTTGCAACTGTGCAATGAAAACATCATTTTTTTCTATTTAGTATCTCTTGACCACAAATATTTACTAGACTCATGGTTATTATTCTTACTATAACTAAATCAGCATTAGGATTTCCTGTTTCTGGATATACCACAGACAAATTTTGGGTTTACTGACTTTGTAGTTCACAGTGCATATAAATGATTGTGTCCTGGACAATGGAGTCGATTAATTATTATTGAGGGAGACATATGATGAGGAAAAATCTTAACCATACACAGTGGGATTATATTTACCTTATGAATAAGAACTGAATTATGTCATCCACAGCAGAAAGGATGAAAGTGAAGGTCATCCGTGCAATAAGCCAGACTTGGAAAGAAAAATATCACATTTTTATCTAATATGTCAAATCTAGTCTTAAAAATATAAAACATGGAGGTAGAAGGAGTAATATTTAGGGAGAAGGGGACCAGCAAGAGAGAGTTGGAAGTAAGAAGAGATAATACAGAAGAAGTGAATATTAGCAAAGTAAATGATAAACATATCTGCAAATGTTATATAGAAACCCATCATTCTTTACAGCACATATGTTGGTAATGTAAATGTAATGGAGACTTTATTATATGTAACAAACCATCTTTTAAAACCCAATTTTAATTACATATATATATAAAATTTATTTTTACGGATGCTTATGATTTTGATTATAAGATTTATTTATTTATTTATTTATTTATTTTTAAATTTATTTTGCAATACAATTCAGTTCTGCATATCAGCCACGGATTCCCTTGTTCTCCCCCCTCCCGTCCCCCTCACCTTCCCCCCAACCCCCCCCCCCCCCATTCCCATCTCCTCCAGGGCAAAGCCTTCCCCACAGACTGAGGTCAACCTGGTAGACTCAGTCCAGGTAGGTCTAGTCCCCTCCTCCCAGGCCGAGCCAAACAATCCTGTATAGGCCCCAGGTTTCAAACAGCCAACTCATGCAATGAGCACAAGATCTGGTCCCACTGCCTGGATGCCTCCCAAACAGATCAAGCCAATCAACTGTCTCACCCATTCAGAGGGCCTGATCCAGTGGGGACCCCTCAGCCATTGGTTCATAGTTCATGTGTTTCCATTCATTTGGCTATTTGTCCCTGTGCTTTATCCAACCTTGGTCTCAACAATTCTCGCTCATATAAACCCTCCTCATTCTCACTAATTGGACTCCCAGAGATCCACCCGGGGCCTAGTCATGGATCTCTGCATCCAGATCCCTCAGTAGTTGGATGAGGTTTCTAGCACAACAATTAGGGTGTTTGGCCATCCCATCACCAGAGTAGGTCAGTTCGGGCTGTCTCTCGACCACTGCCAGCAGTCTGTTGTGTGGGTATCTTTGTGGATTTCTGTGGGCCTCTCTAGCACTTTGCTTCTTCCTATTCTCATGTGGTCTTCATTTACCATGGTCTCCTATTCCTTGTTCTCCCTCTCTGTTGTTGATCCAGCTGGGATCTCCCGCTCCCCCAACCTCTCTTTCCCTCAACCCTCGCCTTTCATTACCCCCACTCATGTCCAGGCTGTTCATGTAGATCTCATTCCATTTCTCTGTCATTGGGTGATCCCTGTGTCTTTCTTGGGGTCCTGTTTTCCAGGTAGCCTCCCTGGTGATGTGAGTAGCAGACAAATCATCCTTGTTTCATGTCTAGTATCCTGCTATGAGTGAGTACATACCATGTTTGTCTTTCTGAGTCTGGGTTACCTCACTCAGGATGATTTTTTCTAGATCCATCCATTTGTCTGCAAACCTCATGATGCCATTGTTTTTCTCTGCTGAGTAGTATTCCATTGTGTATATGTACCACATTTTGTTTATCCATTCTTCAGTTGAAGGGCATCTGGGTTGTTTCCATGTTCTGGCTATTACAAACAATGCTGATATGAACATAACTGAACAAGTGCTCTTATGGTGTGGTTGAGCATTTCTTGGGTATATGCCCAAGAGTGGTATAGCTGGATCTTGGGGGAGATTGATTCCCAATTTTCTAAGAAAGCGCCATATTGATTTCCAAAGTGGTTGTACAAGCTTGCATTCCCACCAGCAGTGGAGGAGAGTTCCCCTAGCTCCACATCCTCTCCAGCATAAGGTGTCTTCAGTGTTTTTGATCTTAGCCATTCTGACAGGCGTAAGGTGGTATCTCAGAGTTGTTTTGATTTGCATTTCCCTGATGATTAGGGATGTTGAGCAGTTCCTTAAATGTCTTTCGGCCATTTGAGTTTCCTCTGTTGAGAATTCTCTGTTTAGTTCTATAGCCCATTTCTTAATTGGACTGTTGGGCATTTTGATGTCTAATTTCTTGAATTCCTTATATATTCTGGATATCAGTCCTCTGTCAGATGTGGGGTTGGTGAAGATCTTTTCCCATTCTGTAGGCTGTCGCTTTGCCTTGTTGACCGTATCCTTTGCTCTACAAAAGCTTCTCAGTTTCAAGAGGTCCCATTGATTGATTGTTTCTCTCAGAGTCTGTGCTACTGGTGTTCTATTTAGGAAGTAGTCTCCTATGCCAATGCGTTCAAGACTACTTCCTACTTTCTCTTCTAGCAGGTTCAGAGTAGCTGGATTTATGTTGAGGTCCTTGATCCACTTGGACTTAAGTTTTGTGCACGGTGATAGATATGGATCTATTTGCAGCCTTCTACATGTTGATATCCAGTTTTGCCAGCACCATTTGTTGAAGATGCTTTCTTTTTTCCATTGTGCACTTTTGGCTTCTTTGTCAAAAATTATATGTTCATAGGTGTGCGGATTAATGTCAGGGTCTTCAATTCAATTCCATTGGTCCACATGTCGGTTTTTATGCCAGTACCAAGCTGTTTTTATTACTGTAGCTCTATAGTAGAGCTTGAAGTCAGGGATCGTGATGCCTCCAGAAGTTGTGTTATTGTACAGGATTCCTTTGGCTATCCTGGGTTTTTTGTTTTTCCATATGAAGTTGAGTATTATTTTTTCCAGGTCTGTGAAGAATTGTGTTGGTATTTTGATGGGGATTGCATTGAATCTGTAGATTGCTTTTGGTAAGATTGCCATTTTTACTATGTTAGTCCTGCCTATCCATGAGCATGGGAGATCTTTCCATTTTCTGACATCTTCTTCAATTTCTTTTTTCAGGGACTTAAAGTTCTTGTCATATAGGTCCTTCACTTGCTTGGTTAGTGTTACCCCAAGGTATTTTATGTCATTTGTGGCTATAGTAAAGGGTGATGTATCTCTGATTTCCTTCTCTGCTTCTTTGTCCATTGTATATAGGAGGGCTACTGATTTTTTTGAGTTGATCTTGTATCCTGCTATGTTGCTGAAGGTGTTTATAAGCTGTATCAGTTCCTTGGTGGAATCTTTGGGGTCGCTCAAGTATACTATCATGTCATCTGCAAATAGGGAAAGCTTGACTTCTTCCTTTCCAATTTGTATCCCCTTAATCTCCTTATGTTGTCTTATTGCTCTGGCTAGAACTTCAAGTACTATATTGAATAAGTATGGGGAGAGTGGACAGCCTTGCCTCGTTCCTGATTTTAGTGGAATTGCTTTGAGTTTCTCTCCATTTAATTTGATGTTGGCTGTTGGCTTGCTGTAAATTGCCTTTATTATGTTTAGGTATGTTCCCTGTATTCCTGATCGCTCCAATACCTTTATCATGAAGGGGTGTTGGATTTTGTCAAATGCCTTTTCTGCATCCAGTGAGATGATCATATGGTTTTTTTCTTTGAGTTTGTTTATATGGTGTATTACATTGACGGACTTTCGTATGTTGAACCACCCTTGCATCCCTGGGATGAAGCCTACTTGATCATGGTGGATAATTGTTTTGATGTGTTCTTGGAGTCTGTTTGCCAGTATTTTATTGAGTATTTTTGCATCAATGTTCATGAGGGAGATCGGTCTGTAGTTCTCTTTCTTTGTTGTATCCTTGTTTGGTTTAGGAATTAGGGTAATTGTAGCCTCGTAGAAGGAGTTTGGTAATGTTCCTTCTGTTTCTATTGTGTGGAACAATTTAGAGAGTATTGGTATTAACTCTTCTTTGAAGATCTGGTAGAATTCTGCGCTGAAACCATCTGGTCCTGGGCTTTTTTTGGTTGGGAGACTTTTAATGACTGTTTCTATTTCATTAGGGGTTATTGGACTATTTAAATAGTTTATCTGGTCTTGATTTAACTTAGGTATGTGGTACCTATCCAGAAAGTTATCCATTTCTTTTAGGTTTTCCAGTTTTGTCGAATAGAGGTTTTTGAAGTATGACCTGATGATTCTCTGGATTTCCTCAATGTCTGTTGTTATGTCCCCCTTTTCATTTCTGATTTTGTTGATTTGGATGCTCTCTCTCTGTCTTTTGGTTAGTTTGGATAAGGGCTTGTCTATCTTGTTGATTTTCTCAAAGAACCAACTCTTTGTTTCATTAATTTTTTGTATTGTTCTCTTTGTTTCTATTTTATTGATTTCAGCTCTCACTTTGATAATTTCCTGGCGTCTATTTTTCCTGGGAGACTGTGCTTCTTCTTGTTCTAGAGCTTTCAGGTATGCTGTTAAGTCTCTAGTGTGAGATTTCTCCAACTTATTTATGTGGGCATTTAGTGCTATGAATTTCCCTCTTAGTACTGCTTTCATAGTGTCCCATAAATTTGGATATGTGTTGTCTTCATTTTCATTGATCTCTAGGAAGTCTTTAATTTCTTTCTTTATTTCTTCCTTAACCCATTGGTGATTCAGTTGGGTATTATTCAGTTTCCATGAGATTGCGGGTTTTCTGTAGTTTTTGTTGTTGTTGAAATCCAACTTTAGACCATGGTGGTCTGATAGAACACAGGAGGTTATTCCAATTGTTTTGTATCTGTTTAGATTTGTTTTGTGGCCAAGTATGTGGTCAATTTTAGAGAAGGTTCCATGGGGTGCTGAGAAGAAGGTATATTCTTTTTTGTTAGGATGGAATGTTCTGTAGATATCGATTAAGTCCATTTGAGTCATGACATCAGTTAAGTCCTTTATTTCTCTGTTAAGTTTCAATTTGGGAGATCTGTCCAGTGGTGAAAGTGGGGTGTTGAGGTCTCCCACTATTAATGTGTGGGGTTTTATATGTGATTTAAGCTTTAGTAATGTTTCTTTTACATATGTGGGTGCCCTTGTGTTTGGGGCATAAATATTCAGAATTGAGACTTCATCTTGGTGGATCTTTCCTGTGATGAGTATGTAATGCCCTTCTTGATCTCTTTTGATTGATTTTAGTTTGAAGTCTATTTTGCTGGATATCAGGATGGCTACACCCGCTTGTTTCTTAAGACCGTTTGATTGGAAAGTCTTTTCCCAGCCTTTTATTTTTAGGTAGTGTCTATCTTTGAATTTGAGATGTGTTTCTTGTATGCAGCAGAAAGATGGGTCCTGCTTTCGTATCCATTCTGTAAGCCTATGTCTTTTTATAGGTGAATTAAGTCCATTGATATTGAGGGAAATTAATGACCAGTGATTGTTCATTCCTGTTATTTTTTGGTGGTGATGTGTGTGTACTTCTATACGTTGGGGTTTACTGCTGTGGCTTTATCTGTTGCCTGTGTTTTCGAGGGTGTATCTGACTTCCTTCGAGGGTGTATTTTCCTTCTAGTGCTTTCTGTAGGGCTGGGTTTGTGGATAAGTATTGTTTAAATCTGGCTTTGTCATGGAATGTCTTGTTCACTCCATCTATGGTGATTGAAAGTTTTGCTGGGTATATTAGTCTAGGCTGACATCCATGGTCTCTTAGTGTCTGCATTACATCTGTCCAGGTTCTTCTGGCTTTCAAAGTCTCCATTGAGAAATCGGGTGTTATTCTGATGCGTTTGCCTTTATATGTCACTTGGCCTTTTTCCTTTGCTGCTCTTAATATTCTTTCTTTATTCTGTACGTTTAGTTGTTTAACTATTATGTGGCGAGGGGACTTTTTTTGGGGGTCTAGTCTGTTTGGTGTTCTATAAGCTTCTTGTATCTTCATAGGCATTTCTTCTTTAAGTTGGGAAAGTTTTCTTCTATGATCTTGTTGAATATATTTTCTGTGCCCTTGAGTTGGTATTCTTCTCCTTCTTCTACCCCTATTATTCGTAGGTTTGGTCTTTTCATGGTGTCCCAAATTTCTTGGACATTTTGGTTCATGACTTTGTTGGCTTTAGTGTTTTCTTTGAGTGATGAATGCATTTCTTCTACTGTATCTTCAACGCTAGAGATCCTCTCTTCCATCTCTTGCATTCTGTTGATTATACTTGCATCTGAAGTTCCCAATCGTTTTCTCAGATTTTCTATTTCCAGCATTCCCTCTGTTTGTGTCTTCTTCATTTTTTCTATTTCCCTTTTCAGGTCTTGGACTGTTTCCTTCATTTGTTTCATTGATTTTTCTTGATTTTCTCTCAGTATTTTATTGTTTTCTTCCAGGACTTTATTGATTTCTTCTAATTTGTTTGCCCTTTCCTCTAGTTGTTTACAGCGTTCTTCACATTTTTTTGTCTTTTCCTCTACACAAGCCTCTAGCTTCTTCATGATATCATTCATAAGGCTGTTTTCTTCTGCTTCTTCCAATTTCTGATGTTCAGGTCTAGGTGTTGGAGGAGGGCTAGGGCCTGGTGATGCTGTATTGCTATTCATTTTGTTGTATATATTTCTGCCTTGACGTCTGCCCATCTCCTTGTGGTTCGTTCTTGGCCTTATCCGCACACTTGGTTCAGACAGACCAGTGTTCCAAAAGGGAAGTCAGTGTTCCAAAAGGGAAGTCCGGAGCAAGATGGGAGCTGGGGGCCGGCCTCTAAGTCTCAGGAAGAGGCTTGGGGCTCAGGCGGATGGGCGTGGGGGCAGGGCGTGGAGACTGCAGGGTCTGCCAGGGGTCTTGGAGAAGGGGATCCTTCCCGGTGGGGCTAGCAGGGAACCTGCCTGGTGGCCAGAACCTGGGGCCGAGTTGGGCAGGTCTTCCCTGGAGTGGCTGGTGCCCAGGGATGGGGTCTGGGGCAAGGAAGGGTACTCACCAGTGTTCCAAAAGGGAAGTCCGGAGCAAGATGGGAGCTGGGGGCCGGCCTCTAAGTCTCAGGAAGAGGCTTGGGGCTACTATTTATTTTTTAATGTGTATATTTGTGTTCATGTGTGTGGGTGCATGTGAAGGTCAGAAGTCAACATTTGATTTCTTCAATTTCTCTTCATCTTGTTTTTTCTATATATCTGCGTGTATTTATATGTGTATATGTATGTGTGTATCACGTGTGTGTGTGTGTGTGTGTGTGTGTGTGTGTGTGTGTGTGTGTGTGAACATGTGTGAGGGTATATATTGAGGCCAGTGGTTGATACCATCAAGTTTTTCTCAATTGCTTCTCCCCCTTATTTTTTGCAAGGTCTTCCATTGAATCTAAAGTTCAAAGAATTAGTCAGACTGGCTAGCTAGTAAGCCCTAGGCATCCTCCTGACTCTGCCCCATAACCCCCGGCATTGGGATTATGGTGCTGAGTCACATTAGGCACATTGCTGCTGATGTGTCTAGCTTTTCTTCATGCATGGGTGCTCGGGGAATCTGAACTCAGTCTTCATAGTTATGCGGTAAGAATTTTAATAAGTAAGCTACCACTCCAGCCCCAGATTTTGTTTTGATAGAAGGAACATTGCTGAATAAAATGGCATATAATGCATCTTCAAATAAGCAGCATGAGGTGATTTAGCAATAGACACTATGAGGGCACCGAACTGTGGCTTTTTTGAGTGGGAGGCATTGGCCTGGGAGAGAAGGAAGTCATTTATGGGCTATAAGTATATAAAACTCAGAACACAGCTAGTGCTAAACTTTTCTTTATCATATCTAAGAAAATCCATAAACCAAGATTGCTAGTAGGAAAGATTTGAATTTTTTTTTCAGTAAACAGGTAATTTTTAAATACCTTAAGCTAGGACAGTGGTTCTCAACCTACCTAATGCTGCAATCCTTTCATACAGTTCCTCATGTCGTGGTGTCCACTGACCATGAGTTTATTTTCATTGCTACTTCACAACTGTAGTCTTGCTACTGTTATGACTCATAATGCAAACATCTGTGTTTCCCAATGGTCTTAGGCGACCCCTGTGAAAGGGTCATTTTATCCCTGACACACACATTGGGAAATGCTGAGCTGGGGTAAAGGAAGAAAAGCAACCACTTACCTAACAAGAATCGATGTGCTAATCTTAGGTAGTTTTCTAGGCATTAACCAACCCTCACTGGAACCACTATTAAACACTGTTTTTTAGTTAATTTGAATTGATCTTTTTCTCAAAGATTATACTTTTCTGGAAATTGCCTCTAGTTTAACATCACTTTTGGCTGCTCTTTCTTTGGCTATTTTACAAGGCTTCCCTTCAGCATGACCATAACACACAGGTTGCATGTTTTCTTCTCTACCTGTGTGAAAATAAAGCAATTTTTCAGTAGGTCACAATACAATTGCAAAAAAAAAAATATCCTGATGGGGCATTAGCATAATTTAATGTATAATTAATAAAAATAAAGCAGCCAATAAGAACTGTAATTCTTTAATTTGAATTTAGAGATTATAATAAAGTTACATTTCTGCCTTCCCTTTTCTCACTCCAAACCCTCCTATATGCCCCTCCCCATTCTCCTTCAAAGTCATGACCTTTTTTTTTCATTAATTGTTATTAAGTGCATAGATATACATGTATATACACATATACATTTCCAAATATAACCTGCTCAGTCAGTATACTGTTACTTGGTACTGGACAACCAACTGGTGTGCTCTTTCCTGGGGAAGAACACCTCTTCTCTCTGGCTCCAATCTTTCCTCAGTTGCCTGTAGTTCTTTGTGCAGAGTTGAGGCTTCTGGGCTTTCCCCCATCCACCTTGGTGTGTCCATTGGTGTCAACCTGGTTCAGCTCACATTTGGGCAATCGTGTTGGTGAAACTTTATAAGTGTAACTCCAGAGATTCCTAGGAAACACAGTCTCACAGCAAACTCCCAGATCCTCTGGCCCTTACAGTCTTTCTACCCCCTCATCTGCAATGTTCCCTGTGCCTTAGGTGTGGAAGTGTTTTGTAGGTGTTATCAATTTGACATGAGCTCCACAACTCTGCATTTTGATTGGTTGTGGTTTTCTATAGTGGTCTTTCTTGCAAAGAGAAGTTTGATCAATGTGGGGATGAAGACAACACTTATCGGTGGGTTTAAGGACAAATGGCTACAGACTGCTGTTAGAACTTATGATGGTTTAAGAAATTAGTGGTTGTAGATTCTCTTCCAGTAACCACAACTTCACTAGCACTGAGTAATTAAGCTAGATTTCCAGCACCAGGCTTGTTTCCCCTCTTGTTGAGTAGATCTTAAGTCCAATTAGAGAGCTATCGGTTACCACCATGGTATGTGTGCCAAGACTGTACCTTTAGGGTTATCATGCCACACTCATCATTAATGTGGTCCATAGATGCCAAAGTTGGGTAGGAACATTGGTTGCTTCCCTTCTTGGGAAGCTTGCATGGTGGATTCTGGTACTGAAAAACTAGTCCTCAGGGAGGGGCCATTCAGGTCAGTTCTAGCTCAGGGGTCTTTGGGCCCTGTTTCTGAAGTACATGATGACTTCACTAGTAGGGAATTACCTTCCACCTCTGGGGGCATCAAAGGAAACATCAATAGGATATAAATTATATATATTATATTTGTACATATATGTATACACACACATATATATCTATCTATATCTACCTATCTATCTATCTATCTATCTATCTATCTATCTATCTATCTATCTATCTATATGTACATATATAATCCATGAGTCTCTTGGACAGCCCCTTGTAGATGTATCCAACCTTCTTATTAAATAATAAACACAGAACCAATGCAAAGAAGAAAGCCAAGAGGTCAGAGCTAAGAGCTAAAACCTTACCCTTCCTCCTGCGGTGGTCCTACCTCTCCGAACCAGAGCTACCCCTGTGTTAAAGTCTTTATATAGAGTTCCTGTCCTGCCTTCTCATTGGTTGTAAACCCAACCACATGACCGCCTCCTCACAGCCTGTCTGTATAGGCCTCCAGGTTTTCCATGATTGGTATTGAGATTAAAGGCATGTGTATCCAATAATGGCTGTATCCCTGAACACACAGAGACTTACCCAGCTCTGCCTACCAAGTGCTGGAATTACAAGCGTACGCTACCACTGCCCTGGTTTCCTATGGCTTGCTAATAGCTCTGACCCCCGGGCAACTTTATTTATTAACATACAAATAATATTTTAATACAAATAAAATGTCACCATATTTCCCCTTTTCTATTTTAATAAAAAGGAAAAAAAAGAAAAAGCTTATAACTAATATAAGAAAAACTATATACAAAAAGACAATAACTATATACAATATATACAAGTAATAAATACCTAAACAATGTCTAGTCCATTTGTATTTCACAAATTCGGAGAAAATAATTTCATTATCTATCCTATTTTGGTAAGTCCAAAATGTATCCTAATTAATTTTCAACTATAACTAACTAACCTTCAACTATAACTAACTAATCTTCAACTCCCTCAGAGACCCAAGAAGGAAATAATATTAGCTAACAAAAATAAAAACAGGAAGTGTACATAAGCACCTTCCAAAAAATTTGTGAGTTGACAGAAACAGACAGCTGTCTGGACAGTCACCTGAGGTTTCTCCGAAGTGCTGGGGCATCATCTTCCGCCTATAGGCTTAGCATATCTGACAGACTCATTTGTGAAGTAGGATGTACACAAGGTCAACAGTTCAACCTCACATTGAGTGAGAGTAGTCCATGTACCAGAAACACCTGAATTCCACTAGTGTCATGTCATGATTCAGGATTTTAAATTCTGGAAATTGTTGATGGTTTTTTAATTCAGCTGTCCATTCTTCTTGGCTGTGTATATATGGCTTCATCTCAGCATCCCATTCTTCTCCATATCCCTCTATCAAATGCCAGTCTACTATTGAGAGGCGTGAGCTTAGTTACTCTTCAAGAATAACTGTTTCAGCTGCTGTTCCATTGCACATCAGAAGCCATCAGCCCACTGCCTGTTCAGCTGCCTTCGAAGAAAAGGGCACTGTACCTTTTTCGAATTGCGAAGGCCACTTCAGGGATGGTGCCATATTGTCCTGGCCTCTGAAGATGCCTTTTGATAAAGCCATAACCACACTTGTTTTGGCAAGAATCAGTAATCCTTTGTTTTATGTCCTGTCTGTCCATTTTGTCCCGTTGATTCGAGGATACTTTGTTGTCCAGTGGCTAACTTTTGCCACAATGAAAGTTAACTCCATATGCAATTTCTTCAATGCCCATATTTTCTCTGAAGTAGATTGGTACTGCCAGGAGCCGACATGTCTCATAGTCATAACAAAAAAGAAAAATTTTCTAAGTTATTAAAACATTTTAAATGCCATATTCTGTAGATCTCTGAAGGGTTTGAAGATAACCTGTCTATCTAAAATATATCTACTCAATCTTGAAAACATACCTAATATAACTACAAGTTCTATTATAATATCTAACTACTAACTTTCATTGCTTTATATCCTAATAGTTGGTAATAACATTCAAGGATCAGAAAATTGCATTACATTGTTAGATGAATGGTACAATTAGAAAAATATATATAACATTTTCTAACAATATCAATTTCAATATATATAATTTGTATACAATATAAAACAATCCAATCCAATGTAAAGTATTTACATTTTTCTTTTCTTTCTTTCTTTTTTTTTTTTTTTTTTTTTTTTTTTTGGTTTTTCGAGACAGGGTTTCTCTGTGTAGCTTTGCGCCTTTCCTGGAACTCACTTGGTAGCCCAGGCTGGCCTCGAACTCACAGAGATCCGCCTGGCTCTGCCTCCCGAGTGCTGGGATTAAAGGCGTGCGCCACCACCGCCCGGCCTCTTTTTTTTTTTAATAAGAACCTTAAATCTAATCTCCTTTGCTTAGCCTTTTTCCTAACCCTTGACAACAACTTGTAACCAACCCCCCTAATCAATGAAAATTATCACAGACCCAAAACCCATTAAAAGACCAAAAAAACCAACCGCCCCACAGCCCCTGGCCCACAACTCAAAAAGAAGGCTTTTTATATCTGGTATTTTTTTTTTTATAAAGTGATCTTTGGCTTTTAGAGAGAATACCATCAGCCCAGATGAGAAAACTTCATTAAACCTTATACATACATTTATACACAGAATTATATATATTATAGGCTTTTTAAAGGTAAATAGTTAATATTATGATTGCTCGTGGCCTTTTCAGACATCCTTATTGTTATTTTACACACCTCCCTCATTCTTCAGGACTGTAATTCTTATTTACATTTTGAAATAATGGTAAGAAGGATTTTGTTGTATGTTTTATAACTATAAATCACACACTAATTTAAGATGTTCTCATGTCCTTTGGACTATGAACTGCTCAATTTTCAGTGCCCGTTGCTGGACTCACACTCTAATTGCTGAATTCAACTTTCTTTCATTGGGTGAAGAATGAAAATAGCTACCATAAAAGGGAGAATATAAAATCTAATTTTTCCCATACTCTCTGTAATATTGGCTATTAATCTACATCACTATGTGGTGAAGATTTGTAAGCAGAATGTACGAGATGCAAGCTGTGCATACATCAAGGTAAAGAAGGCAATAATATTGAGTTTAAACTCCATAGATCCATTAGGCCCTTTTTGGTTTTATAATGTGTTCTGTTTTGTGGATGCCTTTATGATGTTTATTTATTTCAATTTTTAAAACATTTATTTCTCTTTTGAGAAAATGTAGATAATGTATATTGAAACAGAGCTTAAATTGTGAGGAATATGCAATTTTGTTAAGATGAACTCAGGGAACTAATACTTAGCTGACTTAAATTATATTAGGATTGGGTGTCAAGAAAGCTAAGATGGCCACAAGAGTGCTGAGTAGTTATGAATTAAAATTTGGGCTGTATTTGTCAGTTCTTGGAGATCAATGTAAGTTGTCAGTTTTCAACAGCATTTTCAAGTATAACTAAAACACAGAAGCACATAATGAATGAAAAATAAGGATACATGACTTCTAGTCTCATGGAACATCTGTCTTCATGAGAAAAGAAGAAGTGTTTACATGTCTAGCTGTAAGTATGAACAAATACCATAATAAACTCCAGCTATCGTTTTTATATATTAAATATATACTTCCTTCTTTGATTTTCTTTCTGAATTTAGTCAGCTATAGGTAAAACTAAGGAGAAATGAAGTTACTGGTTTCACTTGAGAAAGGGTAAGATTATTGTAGCTTCATTATCTTCTGAGGGGTACCACCATTCCTTCCCTAGATATCCCAGAGATCTTCCTTTAGACTGTATGGTCTGTGAGAGTCTAAGCAGTTCTTTGTGTGAGGTGCATGTTTCAGACCAGTGCTATTAATTACCATCCTGTGTCCTGGAGAAATGTGCTCTGATGCTCTTAAAGTTACATGAAGAAATATTATTGGGTAGGTGATGCTCTGAGGAACAGCATAAGAAATTTGGAAGCGTCAAAGGAAGAAGTTGAACTATGATGTACATTCAGCAAAAGCCCAGCCAATCCGATAGAGGTGAGCCTGACTTTTTATGGGGAACATCCCTTTACCTATTGGAAATTCCCAAAGAACATACAAAGTTCAGAACCTTTGGCAGTCAGTGCTTATGGTAGCTGGTAAAAGCAGAGTATGGAAGGTCTACTCCATAATCCATTCAGGAAACAAAAAACTGGGCATTTCATAATGCAACTTCAAACACCAAACAGGCGGAACCTTGTTTCTACCAGACACTATACTTGAGAAAAATACTAAATCTTTTTCTTCCCATTAAGTAGGACTGAGAGTACTGTGGATAGTTTCATTGATTTAATATAAAAAATGTATGCACTAACATATACAAAGTATATGCACCTATAGTACCAAGAATGAGTGCCCTTCCTTAAGGAGACCTTAAGTCCTATTAGACAGCTGTTGGTTGTCTCCAAGACAAAAGTGCCACTACTGCACCCTTGTGGCTAGTTTGCTGATCTGGTTATTGTTGAGGTTCATAGGTTTACAGCTGGGTAGAACTATTGATTACTTTCTCCCCTGGTGGCCTGTACAGCACCTTTGACACTATGAGAACTAGTCCGCAGGGTGGAGAATGATTCCAGGTCAGTTCCAGCTCAATTCTTTCAAGTTTTGTGTCTGAAGTAGACGGTGTTTTCAGCAATATGGTCTTTACTTTCAAGTTCTGGAGGGCAAAAGAGGTCATAGACTCTAGAGGAGAACCATTACAGCCATTTTCCTGAGCCAATTCAATTTCTACTCGAGTCTAAATACTCATCCTTAGACTCACAGCTAAGTGTAGCTTTTATCCCTCATCAAAGAAGCCTCTTTTTGAAGAAAGAAAAAGGAGACTATTGCAGAGATCTACAACTGGTCAAGATACAGAGAATAAGTGACTGAGGGTACCCAACATAAGCTGATATATTGCAGCCACAACCCTTAAACTTGAGTCTTAGGAGAAACTGGAAGATGGAGCAGAAAGACTTTACAGGCCAGAGGCCCAGGATGCCTGCTGCTATATAGTGTCCCTAGACATGAGGGAGAATGCATCCACGAAATCTCAACAATATGGCTGCCTGAGTAAGACCAGTCGAATGACACTGCTGGGGGAAGTTCCATATGGTCCCACCCCAGATCAAGAGCTACTTTTCATCAATGGCGGTGGAGAGAGGGAGAATTAGTTTCCTCTAGGAACTAGCCCTTGAATATGTTATCCAATCCCAAGTGGTCAGCCTCAGACACATGTACATATGGGCAATGATAAATTGGCTTAGTAGGCTGTATATGCATTTAATTATATATATATATATATATATATATATAAACATATATATATATGAATGAAATTAAAGGAGAAATCATGGATTTGGGAAAGAGAGGTGGGTACATGGGAGAAGTTGGAGCAGAGGGAAGGGCAGGAGTGCTCACACATGAGATCCTAAAAAAAAAATTAAAAAAAATCCCACTATATAGCAGTTCTTGGAATATGGTGAACACCCAATAATTGTTAGCTATTATTAGAGCTTTCTATAAAATAATGAAAGTGTATTTTAAGGAAACTAACTTCTATATATGTCATATATGTCAGGTATGGGTAATAACGAAAACACACAAATCTCTAATCACTGAAAACAATAAGATATTGTTTCTCAGGCATGTTACTCATACAGCCTGCATAGGCTGGTGTTTTGCCAATTCAAGGACACAAGAAAAAGAGTTGTTGTTGTGGCAGAGGGAAAAAAAAACCTTGTATTTGAAATGCACGTTGGCTCTTACAGCTCTTACAGCTTTCACTCTTCTATGGTATGCTCCATTTCTACTCACATTTCACTTGCCAGATGAACCACAGGGGTGTATTCCCCCTAGGAGAGGGGAAAGAAAGAGTGTCCTACTCTCTGCCTAGAAGAGAAATAAGAAAAATTTCATGAAAGGATGAATCATCATCACAGTTTATTTAAACAAAATGACTTAGGAGGATGTAAACTCTACTGTGAAAGCTAACTTTTATTGAATACTTATTATGTGCCAGGCAACACATAAAAGTGATATTGTCAAATGCTATTAGTATTCCAATATTGTACATTAAAAACAAACAAACAACAAACAGGACTTAGAAAAACTTGAGCAAGCCTGCAGAGCTGGGTAGTGGTAAACACTGACTCTTAGGACTATTTGATTGCACAGCTCATCCTAACTCCGCTTCTTTTTGAGAGCATCAGTGATCTGGCCATGTGATGCATGCCTACAATTCCATCACTCTGGAGGAGAGGCAGGCAAGTCAGGAGTTTAAGTTCATCCCTTGCTACATGGCAAGTTGCAGGCCAGCTGGGCTACATGACTCAAAATCTTTTCAATAAATACTCTATTACTATTATTTTTGGAATTGTTACACTAGTCTATGATTGTGTCTATTCCCCAAATGTATGACATTTGTCATGTTCTAGAAACATTTTTTTCTTGTTTTAATTAGTGATGGCATTGGATAGGCAAATAGGTCAGTGGAATGGGTTACCATTGAATGATGGACATGTAGATAATGGACATGTAGTCGTCTTCAGTATGAGGCATCCAGGAATCATGTTCTTTCTTAGCAGAAGGCTGCCAGGGAGTCAAGACCTGGATGTGATACACAGAACCTCTGCTTACATTCTTTTGGCTAGAAAATCAGTTCCAGTGATACAACTGACCAGATGTAAATCCAAGAAATGTAGTCCAGCTGTGTTCCTACTGAATCTTTCCCATAATACATGAACTGTGCTTTGTATTTTTTCATAAACACTCTTGAGGGTAGCATAGACTATCTCAAGTCACTTCATTGTCTTCAATTTACTCTTCCTTTCAGAATTCTAGAATGATCTATGGCCACACCACCCTGAACATACCTGATTTCATCAGAATTCCGGAACAGTATCTTATTTGAATTGGTTCTATGTTTAAACATGTATTATCTTGCATTTTGTTAAATGCTAACCATTTGCATGTCCTATTACTTAAAACATTCCAACAATGTAAAATTGTTAAGAATTCTGGCAAAAAGCTCCATAAGCAAGTCAGAAGGTAAACAGTGAACCAGTGTCGTAGTTGTTTTCTCTTGCTGTGATGAATCACCATGACCAAGGCAATTTACAAAAGAAAGCATTT